GTATTGAAACAGGAGCACTTGAGCGTATTTTTAATTACTTGGCTAATACACTAGGTACAGTAACAATTTATCAGCCTGCCATCAAAAGGTGACTCACAGTATATTGAGTAAGATTAATATTGAATTATTTAAGAATTTCTGGTTGCACTGGAGTTTGGGGGAAGTGAGGAGTTTTATTTTTATGAGTCAAGCAGCATTCATTAACATTGAATGATACCCAAGCCACCTGCACAGAATCTGAACATGTTTTATTAAGTGTACGGTTGTTTTTCAAAGATTATATACCTCTGGTTTGAGTCAGAAAGGCTCAAACCAGTAAACATAACTCCCCTTCAGCCTTTTCATCAGAAACAACACAGAGATCCAAACAGAAAAATTACCCCTTGGGAGTTCTATGAGTCTTGAGCACTGCGTTTAGTCATTTGTGCATTGCACTGTGATCTGACTGTCATTCTGGCCTTTTCCATAAAATAGAAATTGAAAGATCAAACAGGTTTAGTTGTTCAATACCGGTTGTCCTTTGCTGTTCTATTATACAGAGGTGTATGAAAACGAAGGTGAGAAAGTACTTTTTTATCTGGTGCTTTTTTGATGTACAGTATGTTGTTTCTTTTCCATGCAAATATCCTATTGTTTTTGCTCTCAAATAGACATCTTTTACTTCAGAAAGTTGGGATATTCACTGACCATTATCTTCTGTTCTTTACCATTCTTCATCTTCATAATGAACTTTGCTTTATACTGTATAGTTAACCAGGAATGATTAAAGGTAAAAGCAGTAAGAACTGCTGTAAAAAGTAGTGGATTTACAGCATTATATTTCACTTTAAATATCTAAAGTAAATGGGATGAAAAACAAGATAATTAAAAAAAGATATTTTCAGACAGATGATTTACTATGTAAGAACAGAAGAAATGATATGAGGAAACATTTTGACCTTCTTAACCCATCCCTTACTACTGATTTGCAAGTAACTCCAGGATTTTATTTTCAGTGTGTCCTCAGACTTCTATTTCGTAGTTGCCCTTCTAGCTGGTTTTGTAAATGTCCATCAGGGTTTTTAAAACTTAAATTGCCATGAAACCTACTCTGTTAGTTCACGTTTCAAAGAAAATTGCCTTTTTGAAGTATGTCCAGTATAAGATGAAATTACAGAAAGTGACGATAAAGTGTGTGTTTATCGTGAATTATCTTCAGCAAATATGAATAAACAGAAATTTAATTCAGTAATATGGGAAATATGGATATGTGAGCCCCTTGAAAGTTCCAAACACTTTCCATAATGTATCCAAGTTGTGCAGTTGCTATATAACATTCTCTACATTCAGTTGTATTTAATTCAGTTGTATCAACAGCAAGTTGTATTAACAATGGGCACATCAGGATGTATTTGTGAGTATTCCATCACCCTCTTTATGTTTAATATATGTTTTCACTTCATAGATCGTTCACTTGAGGTCTTTGGCATGTTAAAAGTTGAATTCCTGTCCTGTATGCAGGCATGCAGGGTAAATATCTCTGGTATTCTGCAATTAGATACATTTCACTAACACTTGTATGATCTAACCCCATGCTTTATTGTAACTGATGTATATTGATTTTATGTCATTCTCCAATCACAAACTGCCTATGATTGTTGACAGACATCTCAAAACTTGGACTCATCTATAAAGAGCACTTTTTCCGGGTGTGTGCGTTTGGTTTGTTTCCAGATCTACACACTGTTTCCCTCTTGTTGGAAAGTCTTTCAGTCTTCTATGTTTTTAGCAAAGCTTACAAAGCAGCAACACATTCATAGAGGCCATTGGGCATTAATGTTTATTTTACTGTTCTTGAAGAAATATTAGTACACTACCTGGTCTTGATGCAGTGTCATTTACAAGATCGCCCAGAGAATTTATTCAAGACTTGAGTCAACATTATAGTGATTTAATATGAATGTCACATGAGATTCCTTCCCAGCAGCCATCATACTCACTATAAGGTTCATATTACTATATGAATCATTTTATTATGTTTACTTATAAAGGCTTTGCTTTGGCAAGTTTAGTAATTGTTAGGCAACCAATAACAACTCTACATTAAGTAATACACTGTATATTACTGTACTGATATTTTTGTATCATATGCACTTTGCATTATTTACCAATTTTGTCTTCAGATTAATTTCTAACTATAGATTAATGCACCTCAATCCTGGCAATAATTCCTAATCAAAGCCACACCTGAAAGGCATACTTTTTCCCAATGGTTTTGCAATGTCCACCTCATATACTGTACAGTACATGGAGCAGTACTATATCTTCTCTTTTCAAGACTAATTAATCTTCTGTGAAAATCTTAATCCTCTGTAACAGGATCTGGACTCAACAAGAGTTTAAATCTTACTTCTAATTCTATCCATGCAGAGCTGGACCGCAGTGTAAGTCTCTCAGATGTGGTCTTACTTCCTGAGCAGGTTCATGAAGAACTACAGGATACAGAACCTATCCATGCTGAAAAGAGAAGCTTAGAGAAACTGGATCCAACACAGACACCATGTTGGCTGGTAGCTTGGTGTTGTTCATTATGTAAAAGTAAATGCAGAAGGCTGGCATTCATTCTGCAGGCATGGAATTGGTATGGTAAAACAGGGACTATTCCACCTTATCTGGAGACGCCTGTTTTATTCTGACAGAGCTCTGTAGCAGGTCTTATTCAAGTTTGCAGACTTAGAATCTGACTTCCTGTAATTATGTATCATGAGATATGAATAAACTAGGGAAGGTTAAGCAAGGCAACAGAAGATGTACAGTAGCAATGCCTTGGGATAAAAGTGACATTCAAAGAAGTATGCTTTATATTGCAGTTTTTATATAAATAAGAAATATGATAGCTGGCAGAAGACAATAGTAGCTGTTTAATTGTTAATACTACCATCTGTTTTTTCTTCTAATTAGTTCCTTTTGTGTGTTCAATTAATTTAAGAGGAATACTGAACACCCTGCTGTGGAACAGTGAATTAACGCCAGCTGGTTAGAAATGTCAGAAACGTGTGACTCAAGTGGTAAAGAACTAGATTTATTTTTGGGTCTCCCTATACTACTAGTTCAGGTTTTATTGGGTATTATTAGTCACCATGACTGAAATTCTCCAAAAGGTAAGATAAATTGACCATATGGCACAAAATCCTCAGTATTTTTCAGTGATGAAGTTGGCAGGACGTTGGTTTAATGTCGCATTCTGATGATCACACCTCCTACTGCATGTTGTGCCCATATACCAGGGCATTTGTTTGGAAATTTTACTCTAGAGGAAAAAACACCACCTATTGGATTATCGATACCATTTACAGTACAGCAGCCACCTGGTTTTCCCTGAAGGTCTCCCATTCCTGCACTGACCAGATCGAGCCTTGCTTAGCTTCTTACAGTAGGTCTGATGAGATCAGTCTACAAGGTGGTAACACTCTGCTTAGCACGTTTGACATGGGTGTCAATAATAAAACTAAAAACAAAATATCTTAGAATCACTTGGAAATTACTTAGAATTGCAGTTTTGCGTGGCACTGCAGGTGTTACTCAATCTGCTATACCTTTTGGCATCCAATTTTTCTTACATTTAAAGGTTTACCCAAGAATTTCCGATATTTAGGAGGAAGTCAATCTGTAAGAGACACAGTTCTTTAAACATAAAGATATGTATACTTTATAAATGCAGTAAATTAATAAAGATCAATATTGAAATAAATGTCCAAATAAAATGGCACATACAACAATTTAGAGGAGATATATCTGACTGGCTGGTACTGTTCAAGTGTTTGTTACTTTTTGAGTAAAGCAACATTGATTTATTGTTTTTTTTTTTAAGAAAATGATGGTTAAATCTCAGAGAAATATAACCTCAAGGCATTTAAGGTATGCCTGAAACAATACACACTGTATGATGTCTTTTGACTAGAATGGAAAGCTCAATGCTCCTATAAAACAAGCTTTTTTATTTTGGTAGTTGAAGTATAGACAATTTACATGTGTTTTAATAAATACTTCTCTCTTGTAAGATACTGTCTTTATGACATACGTAAATGGTTTGTCATTTAAAGAGAGTAGAGACTATTTAAAAATATTGTGAAAGCTGTCACACTAGGGTAACTGCCCTTTGAAAGCAGAAAATTGTTCTGACAGCACCTTTTTTATTTTTTAGCACAAAAAAGGAATCACATCTTGCCAAAACATGTGTGAGATATCTTTATTCGAGTATTCTTTACTAAGGTAGTTCGCACTTATAATACAGTGAACATTGTCAGCAGGCTGATGGGGGTAATAAAAAAGGAGACAACTGAAAACATGTGATAAGGCACTTCTTATGGTAATTTCAAAAGTCAACTTCCAATCTTGTAATATATGATTATTTAAACACATCTGTTAACTCACCAGTTACTCACTTTTTGCCGGGTTGGTGTTATTCTGTAGCAGTTAAATACAATAGTTTATGTGTCAGACCACCTGGGTTCAAACCTCAAAAACATTTAATTAATTAAAAATGGTAATTATTACCACTGATAATCCTATAATGAAGTCCGGTAATGTGTACATTCTTGTAATTAAAATAAAGGAGGAAAAGGCTGCAGCAATCGAGATAAAATGGGTTTTAGGGACTCACATGGTTAGTTAGGCTGTCAGATTCCCAGAGAGCTGCCCAATGCTGTAGTATGGAGTATAGTACATTGTTTGTTTGGCTCACATTTGAAAAGAATGAGACTTGACCGTGAATGAAGATGCATCTTGAAATGAGGTACCAACGAGCTCAGTTTGATTTTAAAAAAACTGCAGATTCCAACTAGATGTAGGCATCAAAAGAAAAATACATGTTGTTTCTCATTTTTAAAGAGATGTCATTGGTGGGACAAAGCAGTGTTTGATTTTGACAGCTCTTTGTTTTTTAGCACTGAAAATAGTCTGAAAAACTCACATTGGAGTTGATGTTATTACCTTTGTTTCTATTTGTTTGTTGCTTTTAGGTTTTCCAGCGTCGTGAGGATGGTTCTGTCAACTTTTTCAAGGGCTGGGATTCCTACAGAGAGGGGTTTGGGAAAATAACTGGCGAACACTGGCTTGGTAGGTACAGTGCATAGAACTGATTTAGACACATTCTTATGACACAGTCTGAAGACCTCTGGACCTCTGATGTCCAAACTTATTGCTCTTTGCTCGATCTGACTGCTAAGATAAGCTTGAATACTTTACCACCAGAACATTACATATCTTGAGTCTGGTGTTTGAATGATGCCATAGAATTGTATTTAAAGATTTAGAGCTAATACCTACACTACAGCATTCAATTGAAATATTTAATTTCTCAATACCTAACTAAAAATTATGGCTAATTTGAATTTTTTTTGTTTCAATATTGCTTTTTCAGCTTTAGGGATTGCTGTATAATCTTGTTTTTGTCATTTCTGTCACAACCAGTCATATGGTAGCTAGTTCTTAGGTGCAACATTGGAAGTGATTCAGCCACACCTGTATAAATAGGCAGTTTTGCTTTAACTTTGCAATCTTCAGGAAAAGATCAGCATTGTTTCTGGATCTGCCTAATAGCTAAACCAGATTTTTCATCAAGGGCAGAATAGGCAAGACTAACTGGTCCTTAAGAGTCTGTCTCAATCCATCAGATTGTGCTGAATATGCTTTAATCACCCATTCTAAAGCCACAGAGCAGGAACAGGAAAAGAGGTAACGTGCTCAGTGAAGTAAAATTAGACATCATCTAGATCGAAAATCTATACAGTCTGCAGTCCAAAAGAAGCAGAGGTAGATTATCCAGACATAAATAATTTGCTAAATAGATTTGAATTTTACATTTTGTCGAAGTGTTTAAATGTAATTATGTAGAGCAAGGTTTCTCAATAACTTTTCCTCTCCATCTTTTGTGTTCTGAATTTCATTCAAATGGAACTATTAACGAGTGAGGTTAATTGAACCCTTTGATTCTGTTTGTTTCATAAGACCTTTTTAACTAAATCTAAAACATTATACCTGTTGGTGTCACAGATTTCTTCATTTGGGTTGGCTGTGCTGCTTCAATAACTGAATGCCTAGAATATGAACTACTGGTCACGCAGAAAACTAAAATGCTGATAAAATGATAAAATGCTGATAACGCAGAATTTTACGCTTCTGTTTTATGAATTTCTAACTTAATAGGACAGCTGTAAAGAAATTGCTTTTGGACAGCTGTAAGAAAGCAACAGTCAAAAACTCTGACAACAGAGGTGCATTTAATTTCCTCACAACAGTGAATTTAAAGCAGGGTCTTTCTGAAACAATGACAGAGCACAGAAAAATGTCTTAAAAAGAACTGGTGAAGAAAATATTTCTAAGTGTTCAATAAGCCTTTGTAATTTATTATTACAACAACACAGACATTAGTGATGCAGTGAGGAATTCTGGCTATAGCATAGAATTTACACATACAATCATAAATGTTTTTATCACAGTTTGTCAAATATTAAAATAAGATTAATGATTAATAATATGATTGAACCCCCAGATCAGCAATCGTCAGGATTCTCTGAAAGAGCAAGGAAATTTAAAGACGCTCTTTTATACTTTTTTTTTTTGCTGCCCTACTTATTCTATTATATTAGTAGTTTTTAAAAATTATTTGGAGATGTTAGAAAAAGTTGTTTGAAGTAGGCAAGAACAACAGCAAGTTGCACCTGTGGTGCTTATTACCTATTTCAGCTTAACTTGTATGATGTAGCACTGGAGGGAGTGCTTCGTGCTTGGCGGTGCGGAGCCAAAGACTTCCACACTCCACATTAAGATTTTACAACACCACCTGGTGGTTTACCAAAGTAGTGCAGTCCTGCAAAAGAATGTTAAAAATGCGTTGGAATGTGCCATGTACAGTATATCGTGTTGAACTCCATTATTCGTCGTACCTTCTGAATGGCTGGATCTGTACGTACTCCAGGGCCGCACAGTGGTACATGGTCAGCATTACTGCCTCACAGCGCTGAGGCCCTGGGTTCAATTCCAGACCTAGGGTGCTGTGTGCACAGAGGTTGTATGCTCTCTCCTCTCCTAGAAAATGACTGGTTGATCTACTGCAGCGTTCATCACACGTTTTTTCCCCTTTCTCATCCATCCATTGTTTAACCGCCTCTTCCAATTCATAGTTGTGGGGGAGCCAGAGCCCATACCAGCAAGCAAAGGCCACAAGGCAGGATACACCCTGGACAGGACGTCAGTCCATCACAGGGCACACAGACAACAACGCACACGTTCAACTAGGGCCAGTTTTCCCAAAAGTCAATTAACCTACCGGCGTGTCTTTGGACTGTGGGAGGAAACCAGAACACAGGAAGAACGTACAAGCTCTGTGTAGATAGAACCCCAGATCTGGAATTGAGTCCAGTGCCCCAGAGCTACAAGGCATCAGTGTTAACCATGGTGTGACCTGCCTCCCTAACCCCATCCCACATGTTAAAAAAATAATTTAATCTCCCGCCAGAACAGAAAGATGTTGTTTAGTGTGTGTTTTTGTCATTGAGATCTTTTCAATAGCTGTTCTGCGCAAATGTATGCTGAGGCATTGTAAATTGTTTCATGTTGTTTCATGGTGATTATTAAGCCAAAGTGATGTCTTGTTGTTTATTCACAATACCAGACTCTGTTTTATGGCATTCTGTCCGGCATATATGGCATATTAGTCAGAAAGCAAAACTGAAGGTGTCTCAGTGCTTATACTAGAAGCATTTCCAGTTTGACCCAATATAGTACAAGAATGGCTTAGCACAAAAGAAAGGATAGCAGCAATTTGGCAGAGGAAACTAACAAAAGTGGCACTGTATGTTATAGTATTAAAAAGCACTTTATCTCCCCGGCAAACATTATTACTCAGAACTCATAAAAGGGACACCAAATTGCAGTGTTTATCCATTTCATTTCACTGTTGTCTGTGACAGTTGGTGAATTTGCAGTCACATAATTGAGCTCTTTGCCGAAAATTGGGTGGGTCTTCCTTCATCCAAGTGTGATTAAGGGAGAAAAAAAATCTCCGTCTGTCTCAGCCAAAGCAATTGAAGCTACCATGTTTTTAAGAATGGCTGATGCAAAATGACATGTCTGCCAATGTGGATCAGTCCAAATAGACTGAGTGTCTCTCAACAAGAGAAAGGGTACTATGGTTGTGCTGCGACAGTACAGTGTCCTGCTAACATGGCCATTGTCTGCTTCCTTTTATAAAATGTCTTTAAAGCAATAAAAAAAGCTTTGACTGGCCTCAGCTGCTACTTTCTCAGTATGCCCATTACTTTCTTGTCAGCACGATGTAGGGCTTCAACCACAGCCTTACAGAAACAGTGTCCTGAGAGATGGAGAGACTGGAGACTTTGGTGACTGGATAAGTCTTATTTTTTAGTATGTAATCCTTAAGCATGGGATCAACTGCCCATACTTTAAATAAGGACCCAAGAAACTTATTTTAACTCATGGGCCTGCAGCAATGCCTGCAGAATTGTCCATCACCAGTTGAACTCTGACACGAAAACTATATACCTTATTGGACTTCCATAAAAAGTAAACAATTTATATCCTAAGTATTAGATTTAAAATGTTTTTTTAATGTTAATCTTACAAATTTTAATTGTAACCATATTACACTTCCTGTAATGCCATCATAACACTTTACAGACAATTGAGCCTTTTGCAAACATAATAAAATCCTGTACCTTCACAGTGCATTGCTTGGAAAGAGAAATACTGTAGGTGTTCTAAACATTTAGAAATATCAATACATATTTCAAGTGATTTAACATCTCTCTTTTGCATAAAATTAGATTATGAATTAGATTAGATTAGGAATGACAAATTCCTAATATAAGAAATTATATATGACTAATAAAGTGATCTTAAAAACTGGATACCAGTACAACTTGTGTTGTGCTTCTAAACACCATATTTTATTGGCAAATCATTCATCTTGTTTTTGACATTTTCTTGGCATCTGAGTTGAGTTTTCTTATTAAGATTAATATTTAAAATTTTGAAGTATGAAAAAGTAACCCCCTAACTCCCATCCTTTTGTCAAGCACAAGACACGCTATCTGTTAATCAGGATCTTCTCATTATGTTTTCATACAGTGCTTTATATTAAACAAACAGATTAAAATGACTTAAATGATTCCTGTATAAATATAAATTGAAATATAAATATAAACAATAATTCTATATACAATTGTGAATTAACAAATATGTGACTACATAACTGAATTAGATTTAATTATTTTGATCAGTCTTAAAATAAACTGTTTAAAATCTAAACCTGCACATGCTAGGTCCGAGTATATTTCATTTTTCCCATATGTCCAGTAAGTATCAGTCTATACATACTGTACATGTATGAAGCTGAACACCAACCTTTTGGAAAATCACAGTGCTACTCCCTATACACTCTGACTCACCCACGCACACGGTTAAATCTGCCCTTATCTATTTGCTTATACTGAATTCTGTGGGGAGAATTTTATTTTAAGTAAACTGCATTTTATAATAAAATCTCAATTACTAAGCTTATATTGTAAATCTTAGTGATTTCTCTTATTTTGTTGAAGTAGAAAAATAACTTTCCTAGAACACCGGTTTTGCAAACTTCTCTCTTTTTCAGATACAAGTGACATAAGTTGACATCATAGTCTCTTCCATGCCTAGTCTCTGTCTAATACAATAAAACAACTAATTTAAAGTTGGAACCTTTCATATAAAGTATTTTTGGATGCTAACCTACAGTACTCATATTTAGTCCATATTTGGCAGTTCAAAAATTCTCTTTTCAATCTTGTTACATTGTGTTATTTTTTAGAAAAGGAGAGATACTTCAAAATTTTGGAGAATTCATAAATATAAATGTATATTGACAAATACTGTTTATTTGTTGATACGATCAATCAAAATTATAGTTTGAAAGGTAATACTATGCTTTCCCATTTTCTTATTTTCACTCATTAACTGTAGCTTCTTCTCAATAACCCAGTAAAATGTAAATACACTGTTTCTCCACTAGAAGTCAGGCTTTCAAAGCAAAGACTGCTTTCAAAAGGCATTTAATATGC